ATAACCGCTTATTTATATCTGTTGCTCATTTTTCTACTGTACTTTTTCCTATTGTTCTGATGTATTCTTAATGTATCCTTAACATACTGTTATGTATGTTAAAAGTTATGGTCTACCAATTTGAGATGTGTCTTTCAAACCTTATCTCTGTCAGAGAGTTTTAAATGTCTTATGTATTCAAATCTATCAACATGTTTTTAAAAGGCAAATACATTTAGGTCTTGATTTCAAAAGCCCTCCCCTACCCCTCAAATTATAAACAGTATTTTCTAATATTTTTTTCATCACAGCTATTTCCCCTGTCTCATTGTTCAAAGTGCCATTAGGTTGACTAACATCATTTTATTTTAAACTTACTAAAACAAACTAAATTCTTCCTTGAAGGTATTTGGTTATTCAACAAAATTTGAGTGACTAACTCTGTGGCCAGTTTTCCTAATTTTCATGGTTAGTAATCATAAAATTACTATAAAGCAAAGCAACGGAAGGAGGGCTGAACGTGGCCCACTAAACCTAGTTAATGACCTTCTAGACTGGCTGTAAAAGGCTACTGCCCGAATGCATACTTAAGTCCTCAAGTTCATTCAAATCTACAGATACTATCAAAACATAAAAGGTAAGCTTCTTCCAAGTGATTAACTCACACCTCATGCTAATGAATGACTAATCCCCCCTCCCATTAGGTTGAGGGTGGAACTATGTAACCACTCAAATATTTAAGATACATGCTAGCCCTTAGAAGATTAGCATAAATCACTGAATAGGTTTGCTTCTTTAGTTATTTTGCTTTACTTTTCAAGTTTATCTATGCTAATAAATCATAATTCTAAATTACTAAGTAAGAAACCTCCTAATTAAGGTCATCAAACTCTTCTGACTCTGGCAGTTAATTGGCCAAAGTGATGGTCTCTTGCTTTTTTGTCATTTCATGAATCTGGGAGGGAGGGCAGAGTACTAACAATTTAGAATGGTTAATGGAAGAAAAGGGGAGGCAGATACACCCGGATGGCTCAGATGGTTTTTAGCTTCCTGACTCCTGGTTTCAGCTCAGGTCATGATCTCAGGGTCATGAGATTAAGCCCCTCATCAGGCTCTGAGCTATGCGCAAAGTCTTCTGGAGATTCCCTCTCTCTCTCTCTCTCCCCCACATACTCCTCCTCTCATGCTCTCTAAATCAATCTTTGGAAAAAAGAAAAAAAAAAAAAAAAAAGAATGGTTAACAGGATGCCAACTGATAAAAAACATGTTTTGGGTTTTTAAGCACATCACTGTCCCTATTACTTTGTTTCATGGTTGGTTGTCCAACAGAGTAACCTTGCCAGTAGATGTACAAATGTTACCCTAACAACAAATACAGATCTAAAAGATACCTGACCTCATTTCACGCTAACACCAGGATTGTTCCCTACCAAACCAGAGCTTCAGATTCTACACACTCTCTTCTAGCAAGCACAGACTGAATTTATCTCAGGTTCTTTTTCTTTTAAGGCACACTGGCATTAAACAGATCTAAATCTACCGTTGGTATCCTTTAATTAGTTTCACAACAAATGTTAATACTCTTCTTTTTCTCCAAATACATTTTTAAAACCATGACCTCTGCAGGTGCCTCCCCAATCCCTTAATACACTTATTACCGTTCTTTCAGTTATTTATCCATCTACAAGTACTTACTACTTGTTATTCTGTCAACAACTAGGGACAGAGCAATGGTACACAATGACAAAGATCTTGCTCTCATATTATTTATTATAGCATCCTACCACTAACAGCCCCAGATAGAGCTTAGCTATATACTATTAGCACTTACAACCAAAAGTCTGAAGAGTCTGATCTTACCTAACCATCAACATTTTAATATAAATTAGCTGTTAAGGAAAAATCAAACAAGGAAATCACTGTATTGATGAGAAGAGTCAATAGGAAGCTTAACTTGAATAATATGAATGTCTCCACTGAGGAAAAAAACATATTTCAAATTAATGGACACTTCATAAATTTAGACTAACTGGTAAATAATCTGAATGATCTGAATTGTTATACAATTTATTTAAAAAAATAATATTGCCTTCATTGATATATAAGGAGTACTCAGAAAGACTATACAACTTTCCCTATTTCAATAGTCAATTGCAAGGTAATCCAGTCTTTTCCTGTTTAAAATTATTATATACAGAAGTTTTAGATAAAGTTTGGGATTAGCAAACATACTTCGTAGAATTAAAAATGACTCATCTGTTAGGAATTCTGAATTTCTGGGAGTCCAAATTAATATAGATTTAGGTCTTCATTATCTACAGTTTTATGGCAAGAACATGAATTCTGGAGAAGCTGCCTCTACCATCTAACAATGGCAATGTTCAGGTCCTTATCTAAGAGATACACTACCATCCCTTACAATGTTATTTTAAGAAATAAACTAAAATATATAGTATATACTTAGCACCAAGCCTGGTATATAGTTAATTTTTAATAGTATTTAAAAAGTCTGTCAGGAACGGATTTGAAGAACGGAGGGAGAAGGTAGAAAGCGAACAAAGTTCAACCTGTAATTAACACCTAACTGTAAACAGTTTAATTAAATGAACTAAAATTATAATTTGGTAAGTGCTATAACAAACAAATATAGGAGAGGTTAACTGACACTGAGAACCCAAGGACATTAGGGCTGGCTCTTAAAGAAAGAGTACTGAGTTCAACAGAATGGAAGAAAGAACATGTCCTTTTCAGCAAAGGCTCAAAACAATAACGAATACAGCATGCCCAAAGAAATGCACAGGTTTGCAAAGATGAATTATAAGGAATGTAAGAGTGGAATGCTGAAGATCAAGCTAGTCAGACAGGCCGCAACCAAACCGTCAAGTACTTGCTATAATCTTACTAAGAAGTATGTACGGACTTTATCCTGTGGATAATGGAAAACTATTAAAAGGGAAAAAACACAACCCAACATATATTTTATAATGATGCCACTGTAACTGAATAGTCTGGGTAGAAGGAAGCAGAGCAGTTATCAGGTTATTTCAAGAGAGAGGCCCTGAGTTTCAATAATGGTAATGACAATATCCAGAGAAAGGATATATACACATTAAGATACAGAAGGCTGAATCCAAGATTTGTTGATAGGTAGGGACAAATGCTGAAAAACAAGAGTTGGGAGGATAGTGTAGTTCTGTACTGAGAACCTGAGAGTAAGTTGTGGGGAAAGGGAGGAATTTGGGACATATCAAATGCCTACAGAAAGGAAACAGATACATGTTAAGAGTTAGAAATAAAGATCTGGGGGTCACTTTTGTAGACAAGACTGCCCAGTGAAAGAGAACATGCTGAGCCAGAAAAAAAAAAGAACAAAACACAGTAAAAGGCTGAACAATACTGGTATTTAAGGGGCAAGAAGAGAAATAGGAAAAGAAGGCTAGCAATATCCCAGAAGCCAGGGAAAAGAATTTCAAAAAGGAGGTAAAGCTAAGAGTTAAGTGAACAAGAGATGAAATGAGATAAAGACTTTTTAAAGGCCATCTGATTTTTTTTATTAACTGACCAGGATTTTAAAATAAATTTCCGGGGGCACCTGGGTGGCTCAGTGGGTTAAAGCCTCTGCCTTTGGCTCCAGTCATGATCCCAAGGTCCTGGGATCGAGCCCTACATCAGGCTCTCTACTCAGCGGGGAGCCTGCTTCCCCTTCTCTCTGCCTACTTGTGATCTCTGTCAAATAAATACAAACTTTAAAAAATAAATAAATAAATAAATAAATAATAAAATAAATTTCGGTGACCAAATAATCAAAATTTTAAGAGTTGAAGAACCATTAACATCCTTTAGAAAGTACTACCACATTAACAATTACTGCATTAATTTACATTTCATCTCTCAAGCCTTCTCTTTACAATACTAATTCTGCATCAGGGTAAATAGGATCTTAGGGGAATCTGACAACATTTGGAACAACCTGTTTATAATGTATTTAAGCACTATAGATAAAAGTATGTAGCTTAATATGTAATGAGGACTACAGAAGATATTCAAATAAAATGCATAAAAGAAAAAGAGAAGCAGAAGGAATCTAATTATGAGAACTCTTTGTCAGCAAATTAAATCAATGTGAAATAATGAATCAGACAATAGATTAAAAGCTTAAAGACTCATTAGATCCCTATGGCATCTCCTAAATCCACAGGACATTTAAAAGTTTCTCAATGTTTACTGATGCTAATCTGCTAATTAGTCCGCTAATGGGTCTGCCCATAATTTATTTACTTATTGCCTTTTAACTTCCTCAATTTTTTTCCCCTTAATTTCTTAAAACACATTATAATGTGTTAAGTTTGGAACTGTGAGTGGTCTATGCAAATATACTTATTTCATCAGTCTGCTTCTGTTATGTGTCACCTCATAAAGCAGTTGTTGCCACTATTTTTCTCTCTTTTAACAAGCTACAGTTATCGGCACTGAGCTGGATAAACACAATTTTGAGTTATGAAGTTAACTTCTCTTCAGATTTAAGTTCTAATTCAGACATTAAGACTCTACCTTGAAGCCTAGGATAGAGTTTTCTTAGTTCACAAACTGAAAGCAATAGTTGCATGTTATGCAGAGATAACAAGTTTAAAATGTCTCTATTCATATCAAATTTTAATTAATAGAAAATTGAGACAATATCTAAACCATCAAGATAATTACCACAAAAACTAAAAATTACTTGGTACAAATATGAAGGGAAAGTCTTTTGAGTTAGTTAAGCCATTACTGTTATAAATTAAGCACCTGACTTCCAACTGTCAAAGCCAAAAAACAGTTCTAAGGCTTCATAATTAAAAATTAAGAAAAAAAATCTAAATATGGCTAACTCTAGGCCTAAATCTATGCAGTAACATTCTGAAAGACTTTTAAAGAGAATTTATAATTAAGAGTCTTATTCAAGCTAATGGAGATAATGTAATATAATAAAAAACTCAAAAACTATAGTTCAAGACGTGCAGCATCTAGTAATAATGGCATACCTTTTCTTTCTGTTTTCTGTGCAGGGACAGAAGATGTGGGTGTAGGCAGTTTTGATAAAGTAGATGCTCCATTAGCATCAAATGATTTCTTTGGCTGGTGATCAGACTGTAGCGTAAATGGACTAGAAGGAAGAGTGCTTGGGGTAGCAGTTGGATGAACCACTGGTTTGATGGGGTGCTGTACTGGCGTAGAACTACTGTGAGTCTCTGCTCTTGGCAGTCTGTAGTCTCTGTCATTGTGTCTGCTTGTTTGAGACAAAATATTCTGTGGGAGCAAACTACTGGCATCACTGGAATGCTTGTCTTCCACTTTAGTTCACAGTTCGAAAAAAGAGATGTTGGAATGACAGAAGGGGGGAAGAAAAAAGATTACGTTAGAATCCTGTCTTTAACATCAGCTAATTTAGCAACATACTTGTATCTTGTTATAAAACTGCAAGCCCAGTTAGTATCTGCAGTTTTACCACCAGCACAGAAATATCCAAATACTGAAAGAGGATTTTTAGTTCAACTCTAAGTAATCTATACTCAGATTTCAAATAGGCTACTGATTTAGGAGGATTCTTTAGAACCACACCACAGTTCAAACAAAACAATGAAAAAATACATCAATATGAGTTGTAACATTTTACTCAAATGAAAATTTTTCCAAGTATTTTAAAAATATCAAAAGGAAATGGTCCATTCTTACAAAATATGGACCATGGATTCTAACAACTGAATTATCCACAGTGGTTCAACTGCAAAGGAGTATTAGCTTTATTAGCTTGATTTCTCATAATACTAAAGTAGCTAATTGAAAGTAGTTTGTGCTGGGGCTTAAATGACCTCATTTTGGGATGGCTGAATTTATGATGAACTGTGCATTCAGTAAGTAACCAGTTCATATTTTTGATAATGCTAACAATATCAGTTAGTCGTAACCTCAAGTTACAGAAAATGCTAGCTGAAAACAGAAAGCCTACATCTGGCAGCACAGTCAAAAAATCTACTTGCTATTACCATTTACATTAAAAACATCCTCTTCCAATTTAAAGTCACAGAGAAATATTTAAACCTCAAGTACTTCTGCTTCCAAAAAGAGTATAAGGAAAATTTCAATGATCATGATAAAATTTATATTTATCAAAATCTCTAGCCAAAACTGTAATAATCTATTCAGTAACTAAAAATTAAACAACTTTCAAGTAGAGAAACATCTTAAGATTCAAAAGCACACACGTAATAATATTACCAAAGGATGCCCTCCCTGTTGAGTATTTTGTTTTTTCCACAATTTCACGTTTCCTCCGAGTCTAGAGACCAAGACAGCACAAAGAAGGAAGTATGCTTAAACTACAAGTCCGTTTCCAAAACCTTCAGTGCATAGCTCCCACGTTATACTAAACAAAATGTACTGGATACTGCCAAAAAACTTGTTATATAAAAACACAAGTCTTCTGACTTAATAAATGAAATTCAGTATTATAAATTACACATATACTAACCTTAACAGAAAAAAATGAACAAATAGAATGAACTATCACAATAGAATACAAACATCTACTGCATGATATTAACTCATCAGTAAACTATCAATTTACATGCACAAGAAACTTAAATTTTATTCTACAAGTTCTTCCTGAAAAGAATACTGCTACAACAGAAACTTTTAGGGATCGATAAAATGGAAATAATACCATACTGTGTCCAACTGCCACAAATCCTATCCCTTGACTACCAAAAACTTTTACTCCCTGCACACCACAAAAAATCCCTCTCAGTTCTCTATGACTAGAGTCAAAGAATATCAAATGTACTCAGATAAAAACTAAAGCTGATACTATTTCAAACACTTGTAAGCTCTGGGGGAGAAAAATGGCAGCTGCATTAAAGGAACGAAGGAAGCTGTAGTTGCAACAGCTTTCCATGATTCACAACTCTAGACCAAACAGTTAATGCAGTGACTCTACCTGCACACCCCCCACAACAAAGACATTTAGCAAATGTCTGGAGACATTTTTGGCTGTCATGATTAGGAGAGGGGAGGGGTGCTATTGGCCTCTAACATGTAGAGGCCAGGTATGGTCCTCTACATCCTATGTCACAGGATGGCAACCCACAACACAGAATCACTTAAAGCAAAATGTCATTAGCGCTACTGTTGAGAAACCCTTCTCTAAGCACAGAACAATCATTCTATGAGGCACAAATTAAAGACAGTGAAAATAATCTAGTGGCAGTAATACCAAATCAAAAATTTTACCCATAAAGTTTTCAATGTCAAGTTCTGGGTAACATTATTTTCTATAGAGCAAAAAATAAATTTTCTATGTTTATCTCTTTACATATAAAATCTTTCAGCACCCCCCCCCCCCAAAGCACACCTTTTATTCGCAGTTACAAACTACAAAGCTTTAGGGTCTTACCCAATATGATGTATTGGACACATGGAAAACTCTGCCAACACTTTTTGGATAGAAAAGGTTAAGCACTTAAATGGCTTAATGACTTCATTACTACCATGCTTAAGTATTTAACTCAGCTGACCAATTAAGGAAAAATAAAAGGAAATATAGCTAAGATTTTCTTAAGTATTACTTAAAACTGAAAAAGTGAGACACGTGACTGTAGTTCCACACACACAGACCTACTGATTTGTCACTTGCACTTCTAGGAATTTGGCCAAGGAAGTAGTAAGTGGGCAAAGATAGAAATCGTAGCACCTGCTGACAGTAGGAAAAGGGTGGAAACCACTCAAGTATCCAGGGATAGAGGATCATTTATAAATGAGGGCACATTTAACAACAACAAAAAAAGGAAAACCATGCAATCTAACACATGGATTTCTAAACTGATAGAGAAACATTTCCTTGAAATATTACTGAAAAGAAAAGGTTAAAAACAGTAACATAACAAATCCCATTTTTGATGTAAAACACATACATACGTTTTATACAGATTTATATATACACAGGAAAAAGTGTATCTCCCCAAATGCTCCTGGCTCATGGAATTTAGAAAGTTCCCTCTTATATTTTAGTAACAAACATGACTCGCTTTTGAGATTATGAAGAAAAAGGAAAAGGAATGCCTTCATTTTTGAAAGAAAAAGATATGCACACAATTTATTTAAAAACACAACTCTGATTTTATTTCCTTAAAGATGGTTTAGCAAAAAGACAAAAAAATACTACTTCCATTTCCATCAATATTTCCATCGATCTTTAATTACTTCCTTCATTTACTCTACCTCAAAGGAGAAGAGACTTAAATGACAGGATTATTTTGGAAAGAATAAAGGAGACACACTAGGCTCTTATTTTTTTCTCTCTGGGAACCATGACCCACAATGAGAGGCATGGCCCAATATATAAGTGATTATTTTTACATCCATTTGCCACTCCTCCTCCATACCCCCTAATATCCCTCTGCAGTTTGTTCAGGAGGACCACAAGCTGGGTGCTATTTTTTTTTAACCTGGAGAGGAAAACCTTTACCTCATTTCTGACTGCTTGCCAGAAATCACAATTACTTAAGATATTAAGTAAAATGGAACTGGAACCCAAGTCTTCCATCTCAAAATACAATAGTTTTAATTTCTTCATTTCAGTACTTTAAGTCATTGTTTTTTAAGAATTAAGCACAATTTCACTAATATAAAAAATTAAATATTCCAAGGAATATATCGTAAACATTCAGTGCTGAAGAACTATGTTACTTTTACTATCTGTTTCATCTTGGGAGTTTTTTCTGTCAAAAGAATCAGTATCCCCTGCTGAGACCAAATACAGCCCCTACTTAAGTTATAGGAGGAAGATTCAAATGCCCAAGTCAAAAAATTCCCTGAACGCATCTTTTAAAAATTCTTCTCAATGTTTCAACATCTGATAAAGAGCCTAAGAATTCTACGGTGGCATTTAAATTCTATTCTGGGCAAGGGAAGTCACGGGGAATAGAATACGCTTAGTAAAACTTCACATACAAATTTAATTTGAATTAAGAAAGAAATATATGTTACTCATATTGTCCCACTTAGACAAAATCTAACCTCAAAAAACATTAAGGTATGTCCGCAGCATGGAGACGTGATCTAGATCTATGATCATGATAAAAAAAAGTTTCTCACTGATAAACGTAAAACACCAACAGACACTCTGATGTCACTATCTGTATATGACTATAATTCAATTATTAGATCGAAAGATTCAGTGCGTTCTGGAAGGGATTTCCCGGTCCAGTTTAATAGGACACAATTCAGGAAAAGGGGGGGAAACCAAACAACTCTTGTTTTAAAAAAGTCAGTCCATAATATGAAATTTTATTTTCTACCAATTCAACTGCATTATAGCCATTTTGAGTAGTGATGAATACATATGTGTACTATTCCTCTGTGCACCCTTTTTCTTTTCAGGAAACAAAATGGTCAAGGTTAGGAAGACATATCTAACATAAAAGAAATCTGTTTCTATTATTTTACTTTATATATGTAAACATCTATGAATATAGATACAAATATATGAACTATAGGAGTGAATCAAACATCATGTTGTTTCAAAGAAAAAAATTAATACTTACTTCCACTGGCAAACCCACTAGTGGCTGTTGCCTGCATCACCTCCCTTCTGTAATCCCTATCTTTTGGGAAGCTATTAACTGCCATCTTGTTTGCTTCTTTTTGTCTCTGTTCTCTAAAAATAAACATAGGTAAACCCATAAAAATTACATCAAGTACAATGAGTTTACATGTAACTTTCTGGCCAAATGCTCAATAAAACGGTATATGGAAAATAAAAGAACTGAACACAGCCATAATATCAACTGGTGCATGAGATAAGATACGGCTAACGAAACAGTAACGTTTCTCAGTGATGATCATATTATAGCAATTATCTATAATGTCATTTACCCCAAAACCAGAACTTTCCAGTATTAGTCCTACATATATGAAGGATACATGTTATTATACTTTAAGAATTATGAAGATTTCTACTACAAATTATAAGGAAGATGCATTAAGTATAGGCTGATCTAAAATCTTAAATATATTGATGGTTTACAAGGTCCTTATAGACAGGTACTTAACTGTCCAAGCTTTTTTTTGTTTGTTTGTTTTTTAAGTAAAAAGTAATTACAGAAAACCACTACAATTAAAGAGGGGAATGATGAGTTTCACTGTTAAGAAATCTAAACTCAGAATGTTCTAAGATGCTAAGCTGTAAAATCAAGAGTAAGAAATATTTTTTAATGAGTAAGAGCAAATACCTTTCAAGCCACTCTTTTGGTTTTTCCCACTGTGAAACTTCTGTTCGACAATTGTAGTAGTATTTTTTCCCAGAAGAGCTAATATGCTCAGACCAGTCATCTGCAGAATCATAAGGCTTAAAAATACATTTTTAAAAATTAGAAAATATTAATACTATTTAATCACTTGATATGAAACATCAAGAATGTCAATGGTTTTCAAAACACACATAAGGGAAAAGACCATTAAATAAAAACACCCAGATCTAGAATGTAATTATCTATGTATATATCTTAGGAGACCTTAGTCTATGAACACCTTAAAAAAGAACAGTGGAAAATCCTGTAAAATGTGAAATTAAACAGAAGATATATGTTTATTAGGTACAAAATGAGAAATGTGAAATTAACATCTTGACTTCAGAAAAGCATTACCGAAGTTCTCCATTATAGTAATTTTACTTGCTGAAATCCAATCACATGGCAATGGGGAGGGGGAGTTTAAAAAACCCACAGACGGGGCGCCTGGGTGGCTCAGTGGGTTAAGCCACTGCCTTCGGCTCAGGTCATGATCTCAGGGTCCTGGGATCGAGTCCCGCATCAGGCTTTCTGCTCATCGGGGAGCCTGCTTCCTCCTCTCTCTCTGCCTGCCTGTCTGCCTACTTGTGATCTCTCTCTCTGTAAAAAAAAAAAAAAAAAATTTAAAAAAAAAAAAAAAAAAAAAAAAAACCCACAGACAAATGACTGATTTGATGACCCGACAGCACATCAGTTCTAAACTCACTATGCACAACAGTACTCATATATAGTATTAACAGAGAACAATCTCCCTGAATTTACTGTTACTTAGTGGGGGGAAAAAAAAAAAAAACCCACGACATTAATAAAACCATGAACACAAAGCTAATTAAAAGTGTAGTATCTGTTTCACCAGCAAAATCCATGAGATGGGGCAAGTGTTAACTAAACCTTGTCTTCTCACATGATATATGGGTCAGCAGCATCACTCATTTCTCTGTAACAAAAACCAGCCTTTCAGAAACTCTCAGCTACATTATCTTTTAGGTATTTTATAAGTACTGGAAAATTATAAAGAAATTAGAAAAATATGGAAGAAGGCCCAATTTCCATGGTACTGATCTAAAAAGTATAAAGGTTAAGTGCACTAGGCCCAGGAAATCTGGTAGAATCCCAAGGACACTTGCGGATGAATTTCTTGACTATTTTCTCAAATGAGCTTGAAATGATGTTCTACTTTGGCAGTCTACACCTCTTCTGGGCTCAAGCTTGAGGAAAGAAATGAACTCTCATGCCCTGCTGACTCAGCTTTAATTTTACCAAGTAAGAAAGAGCCCACCAAAAGTACCAGTTTGCTATAGGTCACAAAACTAACTGGTGATAGAAGGTAGGATCAAAATACCTAGGTTTCAGGATGCCCATTATTTCCAACAAATCAATACCAATTCTCAAAATGCTGCAATAATTTAAGGGTAGATGAAAAGATATTGCAGATTCTGCCACATTTATGCTCTTGGGATTATACCTCAAAATAATGAAGCGACTGGTAATCAGCCCTGTGCATCCAAAACCCTCATATCAGGGGAAAGTTAATCCTCAATCCTTCTAGTTTTCAGAAATAGGCTACAACAAGTTGTAGAAACCCAATCACAGAAAGTCAAATTCAAGAAGTCCTCTTTCACCACTCACCACTCCTTGTACCTAAATTATTATATAAACTGAACATTTCTATGGATATATCTGAAAGATTTTGTTTCCTTGGAAAGTGGTTTTATGGGACTGATTACTAGTTTGGTCTGAAGAAGCAGAGTAAGATTTGAGGCAGGTGGACAGAGGACATCGGAGTAGGGCAGAGTGGTCTACACCAGTGCTCTTCAAAGTGATGGTTCTGTGATTTGTTCTGAAGAAGGCAAGGAGCAGGCATCAAAATATATACTGACATACTCTTTCCCTCGTCAAGAGTCCCACTTTAAGAAAGAAAATTTTTTCAGCTCAAGTTAACAGTATATTATTTGATGACAGTTAATTTACATCCTGGCATAACTTCCAGGACAGTTAAAAGTTCACGGACCAGAAACTTCAATGGTATGGGTCTATGACACTGCACTGATTTTGCCCACCAAATCTCAGATTAGTACAAGTTAATGTCTTACTTAACAAAACGTGTTTCAGGGTACAGCATTAAAATAACATACCGGTAACTTTAGCTTATCTTCTCACCCCACTTCCATCCACACCAAAAAGGTAAAGGGGGCAGGGAACCCTTTCAGTAATGGGGAATTTTTCAAAATGCTTATGTGCAACAGGTGTTACTACTTTTCTTCATTATGTATTTTCAACTTTATTGGAATATATAGTTGACAAAATTGGAAGATACTAGTGTATGCTGTGATGTTTTGACACTGAAAGGATTTCACCTATCTGGTTCACTAACACATCCATCACCACCTCACAGATTTTGTGAAAACATTTTGAACTTTTCACTCTCAGCCCATTTCAATCACATAATATAGTGTTACCAACTATCATCACCATGTTAAACATTAGATCTTAAGTTATTAAATTTGATTTTAAAAAAGGAGTATCTACAACTAAGAACTAAACCCCCAAAAGGCCTGCAAACACTTCAAATATTCTGGATTAGGCTTGATGTATTTGCCAACATAAGCATTGAGGTAACAGTTTTCCCAGTGTTGTCCAGGAACCCTTGAAGGACCTCAAAATCATTTTAAAAGATCAAAACTATTTTCGTAATACTACTATAATGATTTTGTCTTTTTCTTCCTCATTCTATCACAAGAACAGAGTGGAATTTCCCCAGATGCTGTGAAAGGGGATTTGTTACCAGGGAAGACTGAATGCAGAGCACTTGTGAAGTTCTAGGAATCTCCTATGAAGACATTAAAGAGATACTCCAGATCTTTTTGTTTTACAAAGTTATTATTTTACATTACTATTATAGTAGTTATTATTTTACAAAGTAATTTTTCATAAAAACATTACATATGCTAACATGTAAAGGGTTTACAAATCTGATTTTTATAAAATTATTTTTCAAGGTGTTTTTATAAGGATTTTGAGTGACTGAGACAGTAAGAGCACGAGCACCCAAAACACACAAGCAAGGGGAGGAGCAGAGGGAGAAACAAGCTCCCCACTTAGCACGGAGCACGACGCAGGGCTTGATCCCAGGACCCTGGATCCTGACCTGAGCCAAAGGCAGATGCTTAACCAACTAAGTCACCTGAGTGGCCCTCATATTTATTAAGGTTTAATTTTTTTTTTAAACATTTTATTTGACTGAGACAAACACAGAGACAGAGAGGAAAAAAAGCAGGGGAAATGGGAGAGGAAGAAGCAGGCTTCCTGCTGAGCAGGGAGCCCAATGCAGGGCTAGAACCCAGGACCCTGAGATCACGACCTGAGCTGAAGGCAGAGGTTTAATGACCAAGTCACCCAGGCGCTCCCCCCCCAAGGGTTAATTTTTAAATATGGTAAATACGGATAAAAGATGAACAAAAGCTCTCAATTTTTATGAATGTAGACAGAGGTCTTGAGACCAAAAAGTATGAAAATGACTGCTCTGAAAGAACAGTACTAATAAATAGTTATGGCGGTACCCATCTGCTCTCCTTCAGTTCAAAATGTCTTTTAGGTGTGCTTTTCTCCTTAAAAGTGTATCCCCTTCTACTCTCTCTCTTAAAATACAGAATCCTACTACTTCTTCCCCATGGGAAACATTGGAAAAGGAATGGTTAATCCTAGAATTAACTTACTAATTTTTAATAAGGAGCCCCTTCGCTGACCAACAATATCACCATCAAAGATGGCAATTATTGTAATAAAGAATTCCGTGGCGTCCTAAGAGCGCGCTGATAAATTTCTGATTTTTTAAAATTAAGTGGAGTATCTTCAGGCAAAGACTGGTTACAGAAATAAATCTTGAGCCTCAAGCTGAAAAGCTCCAAAAAACGAAGTTATTTATGTGGTAACAAGTGGAGCTGGACTATAAATGCCAAGTCAACTGAGACTGAAGTACCTCCCAGCAAATCAAGACTGGTGGGTATGTAGAAGGGGAAGATACCTGTTATGTGTTTAAATGGGAATAAATTTTTTTTTCTAAATGAAGCAATTCAGAGGTCTCTTAAAAATCACAAATATGCATAATTAACCTAAAACAAGGTTTGTAAGTCCTGTTATATTTAGATTAGAGAGGAGGAGGCGTTCAAAAAGCTTTTCCTAAATAGTTATCATGGGCTAGGCTCTGTTAAACCACAATAAATGTGAAAATCTTAATACTGAGGAAATAAGGCAACTTCAACTTGACTATCAACAGCGATAAATATAAATCACCCACACAACCAAATGTCTGTGTAGATGTTAACTAGATAATAATTGTTACTGATCTTTCAACAACAAGATTTAAAACCTGAAAACTTCAAAGAGAAAAAAAAAGAACTACTTTTTAAAAAAGTTATTCCATATTTTAACCTAGATTAAAATGTGTTGACCTAAGTTCTCTAATTTTCACCTGTTATTTTATTCTTTTGTTATGAAAGAATCAGATAAAAAACTAATTTTATGTTTTACTTACTACTCAAAAACTTCCATTAGAAGTGATTTAAAGACAAAAAGTTTGTAAGCAACCTGCAGAAAAGTTCAAAAGCTAACTTTTCAGGTAAGATTAAATTTGTAGTTTATAAAATAATACATGTGTCATGCCCACTGGGCACATCATAATAAGAAGACCACTACTTGGAGATTAACTATATACCTGTAGCTGCAATTTACAGAAAGGGAAATCCTGATTCTTAAAACATATAATACTAATCCATTCAGGTAACAGTCTTCAGCTTCCATTCACAAAACGAAATCCCCTAACACCATTTATGATTTGGGTAGATCAAGCTTATCTGCCCATTATTTACTCTTTCTGATTTCACGTTTAACCCATGTCTTAGAAATCAAATCAACCAGAATTAGTTCTCCCTGAAATAAGATTTTTCTTAAGCCAAAACAATGTCCACATGGCCTGCCACTGCAACTATCAGTAGACAAATACCAATTTGGGATTATAAGTGATAAATGGAACTTTAAGTTCGTGTTTGTTACTTTGTAAATTAATGGGGCACAAAAACAGATTCATTCTAAAATCCTGAATATACACCTTATTGTGTAACTCATGCCAAGGAGTTTAATGTAACACCTCTTAAGGCTTACCAAGCTGTTGTCTCAGCCTCAACACCACTGGCTTCTATACTGATCTGTGATACTAGGGTGAATTACATCATTTATTCAGCTAGCTACCAGCTAGATTCTGCCAATAGTAGGCACTGAAGTTAAGACCAAAAGGCATAAGAAGCCTAGCAGCCACAGATATCTCCAATTTCCAGCTCTCTGCCATCTGCCCCAAACCAGAACTAGCTTCATCGTACCACTCAGAGGTCCTATCACCAGTTCTACAAGGCTCCTCCTCTAAGCTATTAGGTTCTAATAACTACAACCTCTTCCTATTGTACTCTAGCTCTAAGGCTGAAGGTATGTGTGTATCACTTCCGTGTTCCTTTTTGTTTTTTTTTCAGTCCTGAATAACATACACTATCTGCCTAGCCAATCCTGGATATAAAATTCTCTGTGCTGTCCAATTTTCTGTGCTAAAATAGATAGCATGTTTTGTTTTCCTACCTAGACCCTGACTGATAACAGTATTTAAAACTATTCTAAATTTATCTTTATGAAAATGCTATCATTTATGTCTTCATTTCCTCTGAAAATGTACTATCCACACTGCTTCAATAAGGGAGAAGAAATAATAAATCCCAAAGACCTTTCAATGTTGATTAAGGTATGATGATCACCCAAATATCCAAGGCAGAATCTGTTGGATTCAACCTACACTTCTGTAAGCTTCTAGTGGCTCCTTCCTTGTATTTTCCATGCTACTCTCTGACAGAATTTTTAAAATCCCAAGTAGGAGGTTACTTCACCAATTATATCCTTCAGTAGTTCTGCACTGCCTTTATATAAAATTCATATTCCTTGGTAAGATACACATTTTGGGGGAGCTAGTTTCCACTTATCTCTGTAACCTGAGCTCTTACCATTCTTTCACACTTTCAAAACCTTTGCAGTTCTCCAAAGGCTATGTTATTTCACACTTCTAGGTCTTTGCAGATGCTGCTCCCTTTGCATACCACATGAATTCCAGCCCTCGTCACCTAGCTGCTATATTCAATCCACTGGGGAGTGTTACTTGTACTTTAATACTTTCCTCTCATCCAAGACTGGAGTTACCCTTCTGAGTGCTCCCAAAGCAACTCTAACAGGCACTGTTTTAACTGTTTACTCTTCCGTTTTCACCACAGGTCCAGAAGTTACTCTGAGATGGGCCACATTTTCTTAGTACTATATATATCACCAATTTGGCATATACTTGGCAAATTGAAAACTTAAACTTTTGTTGAAAGAATGTATTAAAACTTTCATTTGAACCATGACTTAAAAAGAAAAAAAAAGCTGAGTTACTTCCATTTAGAAATACCTAAAATTCCTGACTTTCATTGCCTTGAAGACAGGAATCCTCATCATATCGCTACTATTTAGTAGGGTGTGTAATACACAGCAGATGTTCTGAATATATATTTTAAGAAATGTATACATTTCTTAAAGGAGGACAAGGTAAACCACTTTAACTACATAAGTTTCACAATCTATAGTTCTTTTTATCTCAGACATTGCAATAGTCATATTTTGCTCTGTATAGAAAAGTTATGAAATAATACCAGTATCTCCTGACTATTCTCAGTTCTACGAAGCTTAGCTCATTACTTCAAATACATTTTAAAAAGGTCAACTTTAGATTAAACAAGACTTGGTGGAGGAGTTTTTGGGGGCGTTTTTGAGGGAGGAGGGTAATAAACACACACAATCGCCCCCCCCAAAACCAAAATTGGGCACGTTTATATACTTACTGTATCTGAAGTTTTGCTTGGATTATTGCTTGGATTAGAAGAATGTGAATTTGAACTATGAAGAGCACTGTGGTTGTGTGAATTTTCTTGTGGAGAGTAACTGGTCCCTTAAAAGAAACAAAGACCAAAGTGAATTATAAGTTGTATTTCATGTTTAATTTCAACTGCTTTCTATCATACTACAGATTATTGTGTATCCCTAAATCATTTTACATAAGCATCCGGAATATATACATATTCATACTTCTTACATATAAAGTATTTGTGAACCTAAAAAAGATGTGGCTTAAAGAGCATAGAGCTTGCATGGCTGACAGCCTATGGAAAAATGTTATGTATAATCAGATGAGCAAAACCTCATCAGTATCATTTCTTGCAATTTTTTAAAAATAAGAGATTTATTAGGGAAAGACAGGAACACACAATATAAAGAAAAAAGGCACAAAAATTCAGTGATACAGAACTAAAAGTCACAAATATCCCGTAGGTTTTTGCAATTATTTTTCAATTTCTTAAACAGCCTCTGCAACTTGATTTTAAATAGTTTTGCCAATATTTCAACTAAAACAGTATTAAGAAAGTTAAGTCCTAGGGAATGTATCTGATGAAGATGGTATCATCTAAGTCTCCTAATAACAGGGCCAACTCTAAGAACTGCTTAAAAGTAATTCATGAGCCTTATGAATAATCCACACATCTCAAAGACCATCAGGGATGATAGTGTTTATTTTAAGAAAAGCCAAGGTATAAAAATACAGACTTGCAAAAACACTGATTAAAGATCGAAGAAGGTTCACCACAAAAGTCTAATTGCTATTACAATTTCTAACTGTATTTTAATTTCATTACATTTTTCCCCAGCAACAATATACCATAATCCACCTTAAAAATTAACAAACAAACACACTGGCAATGGTATGAAGTCTACACTGTAATGAACAAAATGTGGGAAGAGTAATATAAATGATTGAGAATTAACTATTTCAGTCAGCAGGGGAAACTAAGTAGGTAAGAAAAGTGAAATGGGACAGACAGAAGATGACTTTACAGTTTCAGATACCCAAGCGGAAATGTCAGTAGACCTACGGAGCACTAGGAATTCAGAAGTGATCTGCAAGTCTCCTCCATCAGAAGTGAAAGGGAGGGGACTCTACTTTGCCTTGCATAATATCAACAAGCACTAGGAGCTTGGAATGAAGTTAAGAGTATGGCAAGAGAAAAGGCAATGGCCAACATCAAACCCTGGATAAGGGCCAGTTTATAAGGGAAACCAAAAGCAGATTCAAAGACCCAAAACACTAGTAATGTGATAAAGACAGGACGTGGCACAATGTCGGTGATAGAACAGAGGAAATATCTCAACCAGACTACTGCTTGATGACTTCATCTACTTGTTTTTAATTTTACCCTGCTGTATGGCATGCGTTTATATAAAACACCCTAAACTTGTAACAGTAGGCAAAATATTCTTCAGTAAACACTGGAAGAACAAACACAAAGAGAAATTAGTCAAGATAAACTCAGCGGGAAGAAAAGTTAACAGCTGTCCCTGAGACCTCTATCCTCAGAAAGGCCCCTGTGCACAGGTGGCCCTTGGCGGACATGTGGGCACCTACATATAGTTCCCATAAGAGTTAACAGTTGCTCACTGTGCCCAAGTTGTGCATACAACATGGTTTATGCTTAACATGTGCTTTCCTACTGGGAATCCACATTTTTGGTACATGCTAGGTAAAGGTGCCTATGTAACAAACCAAATCTAGTAACAATTGTGGCTACCAAATTTCTAGTAAGTCCCCTTTACAGTCAACATTTCACAAATACTGTCTAATTCATTGCTGAAGGAATGAAGTATGTCTTGTGCGACTCTACTAGAAGACTCTCAGAAGCCTGCACCTGGCTTCCTCCAGGCTTTGCTCTGCATACCTTTTCTCTTAGCTGACTCTGCTATGTATCTTTTCGCAGTAGCAAGTCATAGCCATGATGACGACTATACAATGGGTGCTGTGACCCTCTTAGAGAATCACCAAACCCCAAAACACTCATTCACAAAGAAATCTTAATATTCCCAAGTTTTTAAGAAAATCTTAAACCTATGCCAAAATCTGTACTTTCCATACGTAACTCCTAGTTTGTTTGTTTTAAAGAAAAACCAGGTTAACAGGAAAATACAGCTAAGAAACTGAGTAATGTATACAAAGAAGGGCATATTATCCATCCTTGTAAGAGTTCGGATACCACTGAAATTTCCATAAATATGCTGGCAATAATGAAAAACAGGTCGATTTTATAGACTGAAATGAATCCTAGAATAATCCTTTAAGAAGCCTGGGTTAGATGCCTTTACATTTACTTGCATATATTCTTAAACAAGATGACTTACACTTAGACTATAAAAGTGCCACATTAAAGATTTATTACAAGACCTGTGAAGTGAAGTACTCTACAAACAGAAGGTATACTAGGCATCGAGGTCTACTGATCTCTCTCTCATGATGTTAAGATCCAGGCATCTACTCCATTTTAGTGTTATTCTTAATATCAATGAAAATTCAAAAACTGACAAGCACCCAATTTAGTTAAGCTCTTACCTCTGAAGAAACAATAAATATTCCACCAGTGTGACAGATGGTATCAGATAGCTTTTAGGCCTAATATGTTTTTTCAGAGGCCATAACATACTGAAAAAACACAAGTACTGAGGCACCCTGGCCTAAAGCTTTAGAGACAAGAGAAAACTCAATCAGCTATTAAGAGCGAAGACATTTTCAGAGACAGGAGCTTTCTGAGTCTACATCCTGTGAAATAAATTTATCTAGACCACTTAGCAAAACTAACAACTGAACCTTAAAAAAGAAGTGAGAAGCAAGATTAAGATACAGATTATTTTGGTAAGGGACTAAGAATAAACTGACATTCTTAAATCGGATCCAAAACTAAGTAAAAGAGGTTTTATAGAAAGCATGGTATGGTACGGCAAGCAATAAATCTTTAGACTCTGGCCAGAAGGATGTGCTTAAGAACTGAATGCAGGGCAGATTTGCCCCTAAATAACATGACCATACAAAGTTGCAGCTAACTCTCCTTAATAAAAGCTACAATTTATATTACCTTCCAAAGTATTTTTGGGAGGGATCTCATTTGGGCCTTTTAATTCCTCCAGGTAGTTCTTTTCATACTTTAGTTAACACCCAAGTAGAGAAGCAAAGTAACACCAGCACCAAAGTAACAATGATGCTGGATATGATTTTCCAGGGCTACACTTTCCATACCTAATACACAAGTGCTATAATACAAAATTTCTCAGAAATCTTTTTATCTCAAAAATTTACTTAAATTTTTATTTCCCGCCCTACAATTAAGTCTGCATATTTCAGGATAAGAACGCAAGTTCTTTTTATTAATAGTATGATGTAGGGAGGCCTGGGTGGCTCAGTCGTTAAGTGTCTGCCCTCAGCTCAGGTCAGGAGCTCAGGATTCTGGGATCCAGCCCTGCATAGGGCTCCAAGCTCGGTAAGAAGCCTGCTTCACCCTCTCCCATTCCCCCTGTTTGTGTTCCCTGCCTTGGTGTGTCTCTCAAATAGAATCTTTTTTTTTTCTTTTAAGTCATGATGTAGAGTCTAAGACTGAAAGAAAGAACAAGTGATCTGCGGATGCCAATATATGCAAAGAGTAGAGCCATGCATAAAACTGGAACTCAGAATTCTAATACTAAATCAGTGATTATTCAAGTGCACAAAGGAAGTTAATATATATGCTGGTAAGAGATAGTCTCATGGATGCTATTTGGCCCAAGAAAGTCTCTTTGAGGAAAGCAGTATTTATGGATTAGGTGGGAAACAACTGGCTTTAAATGATACTTAAGATAATTAAACTTAGGGGCGCCTGAGTGGCTCAGTGGGTTAAAGCCTCTGCCTTCAGCTCAGGTCATGATCCCAGGGTCCTGGGATCAAGCCCTGCATTGGGTTCTCTGCTCAGCAGGGAGCCTGCTTCCCCTCCTCTCTCTCTGCCTGCCTCTCTGCCTACTTGTGATCTCTGTCAAATAAATAAATAAAATCTTTAAAACAAAACAAAAGGAATTAAACTTAGGACTAATGAAGCAAATCTTAAAGATTTCTAAGAAAAGGATACTACTGGGGCACCTGGGTGGCTCAAGTGGGTTAAGCCTCTGCCTTCAGCTCAGGTCATGATCCCAGGGTCCTGGGATGGAGCCCCGCATTGGGCTCTCTGCTCAGCAGGGAGCCTGCTTCCCCACCTTCTCTCTCTACCTGCCTTTCTGCCTACTTGTAATCTCTGTCAAATAAATAAATAAAAATCTTAAAAAATAAATAAACTGTTTAAAAAAACGAAAGGATACTACTGAGAATTTACTTGGGTTTTGCGGGGAGGAGGGGGTGGAATAAAGGGGTTATTTGTTTATGCTTGGGCAAAGTTCTCTCATCCAGTGCTTAACCAGAGGCAGATATAAAATGGAGATGTTTTCACTCAACTGGATGTTAATGTCAGACTGGAATCCAAGGATCAGCAAATTACAATCTGTTGGAGGCGTGTTTTCATGAAGTTATTAATAAAGTTTTATCAAAAGACAGCGACAGGGATAGGCTGAGGGTGGTTGGGTTATGGACACTGGGGAGCACATGTGCTATGGTGAGTGCCGTGAAATGTGTAAGCTTGATGATTCACAGACCTGTACCCCTGTGGCAAATAATACAGTATATGTTAATAAAAATAATTAAAAAAAAAAAAACAGCGACAGCCAATCATTTATATTACCTATGTTTAGCTAATTTTTTCTTTTAATTGTGACAGCGACTGTGGGACCCAGGAGTCTAAAACATTACCCAGTCTTTTAAGAAAACTTTGCAGATTCCTGGATTAGACATTAATCTAAGATAAGCAATTAATGAACATAATGCAATATACAAACCTGACATCTTCAATGTTTAAAAGGCAGAATAATCCCTACTTAGCAACCTCTCTAACTTCAGAAGCAAGGTCTTAAAGGGTAAAAAGACTAGAATCTCCAGACTGAGAAAGATGGAGCCCTATTAGAGTACCCTGGGAAATGGGGGGAAAAAATTTAACAAAATGCACCCGACTCAGCTAG